AGTGGACCACGGTTTTGACGGGTCACGGTAGGATTTGGGTTTGGCCAAAGGAGAAACGGAGGACTCTAAAGGGGACGTGATAGTAGTATTTCAGTATTTGAGAGACTGCCACATAGAGGAGGCGGTCAATTTATTTTCCAAAGCACTAGCAGGCAGGAGGAGAAACAATAGATGGAAACTAATCAAGGAGAGAAGCAGCCTGGAATTAAGGAGAAACTTGCTAACAGTGAGGATAATTAACCAGTGGAACAGGCCTTCAGAAGTTGTGGGAGCTTCATCACTGGAGCTTTTAAAGAAGCGATTGGACAGTCACTATCTGAAATGGTGTAGGATCTCCTGCTTGAGCAGGGGACTGGATTAGAAGACCTCCAAAGTCCCTTCCCACTCTATTCTGATTCTGAAGAAAAGTAAGTACCTTTGACTGTAATGCTAATAAAACTGTTGAAATTTAACTAGTTTTTTACGATCTTATATATTGGAATTATCTAAGAACATTAGCAACTTTAATGTAACTCCTATGTCCCATCTGGTCCAAGTTTCTATTTCCAAAGCAGTTTAACATAGAATAAAAAGATCAATAAAACATTAAAAACATTAATATTGTAATAATTTAAAAAGTGAACAATAAAAATAAAACAATGGCAATTTTCTTTTTCGATTTCCAAATTCTTGATTATTTTCTTGAAGATTATCACATTGAAAAAGAACTTCTTTTTCAGTAAAAACTGAGCATCCCAAAATTAAAATGGATTTTACTACTAAATAAGCAAGATGATACTGCAGAACATGGAAATCCATTCCTCTTTTTAACTTATTTCTCAGTTTTGTGTACAGTAGTGTATAATCATCAGACTCCATTTCTAATACACAGTATACTCTCCCTATTAAATTTTTTTGCACTCAAGTTCAAAGATGTCTGGAAATGTAATTTTTAAAAATTAATTTCTGTGCTCATGGAGTAGATGATCCTAATATTGCTCGCTTTTGGTTTAGCTTGTAACTCAATCATCAGTTTATAAACTTATTTTTAATTGCGTTATATAAGCTGTATTTAATAAACCATGATTAAAACATACTATGCTTAGTGCAGTATATGATCTCAGTTTGGATCTCAACATAGAGGAGGAGGAGGGAAAGATGGCAATAGGACCTATCTAGGTAAGGAATGCCTAGGTATGTTTTCCCATGTAGCTCTTTAAGATTTTAATAAAAAGGTAGAGTAAAACTATCAATAGTGTTAACACTGAACAGATATTGCCTGCACTTTATCTGGGAAAGAAATGCCCCAGAAATTATCAGTATGACTTTGCAAAAACCTCCTAAATGCAGAACGGCACTACAAATCAGTACACTCCATAAAGGGCCTATAATGCAGTAATTATATTTCAAAGACATACTTCAGAAATAAAAATAATTCTAGCACAGGTTTACTTCAATTTGTGTTTCTATTATTTATATAAGCAAGTCCATTAAAATAGGTTAAATGCAAATGAAGTGATTAAAAATCACTTGTGATTAAAAAATGTAACTGTATTGTCCTTAAAAAATCATTTTCTAGCAAAGGGCAGCTTACTACTTATTTAAAGTACTTTTATATTTCCTTGTGAAAGTTTTCCAGACAAACCGTCTACAACTTTGTGTCTCTGTGTGTGTAACATATACGGTATATTAAAGAGCTGAAATAATTATTGCAGAAATTAAATCAAGATGTAGCAAAAACATAAATCTATATACTAATTGGGAAATGATTATGTACTATTCAAAAGTAAAATTATATTCTTTATAAAATTATAGAAAATTAACAAATATTCATTTAAAGAAAATCTTTATATTTATTAGCCAATTTCTTACCAATACAAAACAACAGTAATATTCTCTAACGTTATAGTTCTTCAGAATCTGTGGCTTCCCTATATTGCCCAATTAAAAGTTGTGATAAACAAAACTGAACATGTCTACAGTTGCTGAAAGCTTTACTATCACAGAATACCACAAGCTGCTCCTATTTTAAACATCAGCAGAAAGTCTAAGATTATAAAATATATTACTCTCATCCATTACTCATAATTATTGCATTGTTACTAACGGCACAATTAATTCATCCAGGTTTCCCCGCACAATTTATTGTTCAAATACAGGTCATAAACTTTCAAAAATGTTTGTGCAAGACCCCTTTCCTTACTGCAGCCCCAAAAAGCAGTGGGCTGGATCCAATCTTTGGAGATGGACTAAAATTAATGAAATTGTTTGAGAGATGCCCAAGCCTGCTTTGTGTTAACCAGAGTACTTAGTGAGAATGTAAGTAGCATCATCTCAACCTGTCCATACAGCTCTTCAATTTGTAGCTTATCTAAAGATGACCATAGTATCTGAAACATTTTTGGTAAGGGTGAACTAATCTTACATTTAGTCCCTTGTTCATTCTAAAACTGAACTCAGCTTAATTAAGAGGTTTACACATCTTATTAACATCTTATTAACTATTAGTGGTTTATTTGGGATATGTATTATGGATTCTGTCAAACAAAGTATTCTGATTTATAAACCATGGAATACAGCTTAAGGAAATATGACATAGCTTCTTTAACACATGAACCATTATTATTCCCTTGTAGCTGCTGTTAAATGGCCTACTGCCTTTAAAGTTGATGGCTATATGATCTAATTATCAAATAGTTAAGGACTAACAAATTCATATGTTACCACACTCACAAAAAACAATGTTCTCATTCAGGCTATGCATATATAAAGTATATTAAACTTTTAGCTTTCTATTAAGTGTTATTAAGGGCATAATCAACTCAATGCATAGTTGAAACTGAAAACAAACCATAGCATTATATATAATATCATAAATCTAAATATAACTTCTATGTCATTAAGTTTTGCATGCACTGCAAATAGTTTCATACAATCTGGCAAAAATTATACAGTCTGTATGATATTTTATTCACAATTATATGAAATATTACTTATTTATTTTGCATGAATTTTATCAATATAAATTCAAATTTTAATCTGAGTATTTAATTCAAAATATAGTACAAGTATACAGTCTTTGTAAACTATACATTTATAAATCAAGTTATAACAAAACTTCATTGCAATTCCAATACAGACAAAATTTCAAACATATCAAACATTGGATAACAAAAATAAATCTTATTTTCACTTTGTGTTAATTTAATTTCTTAACCTTAGGTTAAAATTACAGAAGTTTTCTGGTGCTTAGAAAATCTTTTGAACAAAAACAAGACATTATAAACTTCAATTAAAGCCTAACATTAAGACATAATTAACATTAAGACACAAGATAAAATAAACACAGGTAAGAAAAGAATCTTACAATCAAGCAAGTTAACATACATATTGATTTTACAGAGTACATCCTGCTCACTCAAGTTATGCCTGGGATGCTAATATGATACATCTTTCTTCTACTTGGTACACTTGTGCTTGCACAAGACGCTTTCCAGGATTTGCTAAATTGTTCCAACTGCTTATGCTCAAGCAACACAACCAATAACTAACCCCACTGGTTCAGTTCACACAATACATTCAATTAAAACATGGTCGGCCGGTTTGTGGTCAGCTATGGTTCTATAACCTCAGCCTGTCTATTATGAAGTCACCCAAGAACTCGCCCTCTCCTTTTAATTTTACCCAGAGCCACCCTAAATATGTTAACTTTGTAGCAATGACCTCCATTTATTGCAGCGATATTTTCTTTCAGCGAGGTAGAATCCGAGGGCTCTTCCCATTGTTAGAATGGTGCATGTATAGTTATTTTTCTCTCCCTCCCTACTCGCCCCCCTCCCCAAACCTCGCAGCCCTTACTGCCCTGTTGCATCAACTTCCTGTCCAAGATCCTCGGTTTGGGATGATGGTGAGAATTCTTGGGTCTCTCACACCCCTTTCCCTCCTCCGGTATGTCAGCTTCCTGTGCAAAAATCCCGTACGCCAGGCTATAGATGCCTGTGTGTTGCCGCTGCCCTTGGTGCATCCACTTCCTGTGCAAAGCCCCCTTGCATTGGGGCGATTGTTCTTTTTTTTTTGAATTATTATTATTATTCCTGCCTTTGGTGCATCAACTTCCTGTACGGATTCTTTTGCAAATGGGTGAAGAGCACGTTTGCGAGGACACTACCAGCTTGTTCGCTGCTGTTGTTGTTCTTTTCCTATTGCCCTGGTGCATTCGCTTCCTGTGCAGAATCCTTTACATTGGGGCGGGGTGGGGGGGCCGAGCGAGCGAGGATGCTCGGCTGCATTTCTCCACATTCCTTAGTGTATCCGCTTCCTGCGCAGAGCCACTTGCAATAGGGGGGGAAAAAGATGCTCGCACTTCTGGTTTCCTCTGGCTGCCGCTGCTCCCACCGCCTGCCCCAGTACATGAGCCCTGCTTCGTTTCCTCCCTCCCTCCCTCCTCTGCCTGCCCCGGTGCGTGATCTTTTCCTGCCACCACTGCTACCGCTGCTCTGCGAGAGTTTGCTGCCCTACTTCACTCTACTTTAGTTTCACTCACTTTACATCCGGGTTTTTTCCCTAGGCAATGGGTGCCGCACCACAGCCCGTTCCTTAGGCAAAGGGAAATAAATTCGCTGCACCGACACGTCAAGTAGTCCCTCTGGAGAAGCCTTGAGGCGCCCCCTCCTCTCCCCGAGCAGGCTGGCCACCCCCCTTCCTCCTTCATTCATAGGGAAATAAGGTGGGGAGCCCCGGTTGAAGGGGGAGGCCCCCTCCTCCTCCGCTTTTGTCCCCCAAAACCTCGGCTCCTTCCTTCGCTTCGGAGAGCGGCCGAAGTAAGCCGCGTTTGTGTGCGAGAGAGTTGTGTCGGGGGCGCGCGGGCAAGCGAGGGAGTCAGGAGCGCGCGCCGCTGGCAGGCCAGGCAAAAGCAAAGCAAAGCAAAGCAAAGCAAAGCGAAAAAAAATAAAAAAAAAATCGGAGGGCCGGTGGCGGAGGGATTCAGGCGTGCGGGTGCTGCGGCCGGGCCGGGTGAATGGGATTGAAGAAGAGTTCAGCTTCTCGGCTTGTTTTTGTGTCACAGTTTCTCTTCTTCTGCGCCTCTTCTGCTTCGTTCCTTTCTTCCTGCCTGTCCTCTCCTCCCCTCTGCAGGAGGAGCCCCCCTGGGAAAGGGGAAGGAAAAGGACCCCTCAGAGGAGAGAGAGAGAAGAGAAAAGCAGGAGGAGGAGGAGGAGGAGGGAGCAACCAACCAACCATCTTCCACTCCCAGCTTAGATTAAAGAAAGTGAGAGGAGGAGGAGGAGAGAGAGAGGAGCCAAGAAGAGGGGGACAGGGAGGCCCAGAGGAGCAGCTGCACCGCCTTCTCCCTATGAAGAGGACTCCTTTCCCCCTCAAAGAGAGGTCCTGCCAGGGGGACCCCAGCCAGACCACCTCGGCGGCAACATCACCACCACCAGCAGGGTGTAGTATCCCACCTTTTGGATATTCTCTCTCCCCCCCTCCCTTCTTTTCCCCTTTCTTTCTCTCCCCCTCTCTCTTCCCCCCCCCACCCCCCGGTCCTCTGTTGCCTGCCTCGGGAGTTTCGGGGGGTGGGTGGGGGGAAGAAACAGAGAAAAAGGGTGGATGGTGTGTGGGTGCGCGCTGGGAGGAGGGAGTCCACCATGGAAGACTCCGGAGCCAACTTGGAGATGAGGAACCACAACTTCAGGGTAATTCACCCGCCTCCCCCCTCCCTCACCCGGAGGTATAATGCCTAGGGATGCGGGGAAGGGGGCATGTCCTTTCTCTGTCACCTGTGAGGATTGAAGTAAGTTTCTGTGAGAGGAGGAGGTGGTGGTGGTGGTGGAGCGGGAGGGGTTAGGTGACACATTGGAGAGTGTGTGTGTGTGTTGTGGGGGGGAGAGAAATGACACATTTTGCAAAGAGAGGGGAAGGGAAGAGGACGATTTTCCCCACTCCTTCTGCCCAGGATGATCTTTTTTTCTAGGCCGTTTTTCCGTGGGGTTCATTTTCTCCTTCCCTGATGCTGCCGCCGAGGAAGTTTTATTACCTTGAAGATGCTCCTGCTTTGATGATCGAGGCTTCGTAGTAAAGCTGCTGCGGCGGCGGTTTTTCCTCTCCTCCCTTCTTCTTTTTTTCTTCTTCTCTTCCCCTCTCCCCCCCTTGCCTTTTAATTTGTCTTGGTAGCCCGAGTAGTGCTGGGAAAATTCCGTTTCTTCAGCAACTTGTTATTCTGAAGTCTCTCTTGCCCCCCTCACCCTGGGGCAGCCCATTTTGCATGGATACAAAGCTCAGTGCAAGGACACCTTTGGGATTTCACACTCCTGCTCTGGCACATGTTTGCAGTGACTGGAGATGTGTACCTTCTCTCTTCTCCCTCTCTTTTCCTCCCATTTCTCTGTGTTAGGTACAAAGAGTAGTGGGGTGTATGTGGGACTGCCATTTAGTCTGGTTGTTTTGTGCATGTGTATCTTGTTACTTTTCTATGTGTTTGTTTCTTTGTTATTCTGAGCTTACTACAGATGGGATTCTGTCCCTCCCCCACTTTACATGTCTACATTTCAGTTGTTAGTTTTAGGATTAAACAATTGATACTTTTTGTTGTGGCTATAAAATGAATTAGATCAACACAATGAAACCAAGTGACAGAAAATGAGGTTTTATGATCAGTATGCATTTATCTGTGATGCTTTGCTAGTGACAAGGATGTTCTAAAAGGTGTCATTCCATTTAAATTCCAGGTTATAAGTATTTATTTTAAATGACACATTTATGTGGGGAATAAAGTGTTAGTAAAATTAGTGAAAACAACTCCCAAATAAATGTGCTGTTGCCATTTACTGTGTCATGTTTGAAATAAACTTCTCTAAGTAATGATTTGTACACTTTGATGAATTAATACTTAGTGAAATCTATGTTCTTGATTATGGTACAGAGATCTTGGCTGTTGAGATTGGGTTTTTCAGATATATTTTCAATAAAGATGTTATCTTAAAAAGTTAAGACTCTTTAATACAAAACAGTATAAATATGAGGGAGCATGTTGTAAACATAATGATAAAGTTATGTGTTTTTCCACTGAATAACATTAGATTTGAAATTAGTAAACCTAGGCATGCAAATCAGAGTAAACTATTTATTATTATAGTACAGTATTCAGGAAAAGTGCAGTTCCAGCTCATTATTGTTGAAATACTATTATTCTGTAACACTAAAGAGTAGCAACAGCTTTCAGGCAAGCACTATTTACAATTTTCAAAATACATATGATTCTGTAATATCACATTCCAGTATTGCATATATACTGTCCAGTCTTAAATAAATGTATATTATATTTTTGAAATTTCAACCTTTTTGAAATAAAAAGTTTGACACCAGAAGGTTTTATAGAAAGAGAATAAGAGTTTTAGGAACTCACTTTCATAGAACTGCTTGCATTTTATTTATCATTTCCTTTGGCAGAACTTTTCTGGTTTCACTTTCTATCTCTTTCCTTTTTTTCTTTTTTCTTTTCTAATGGCCTAAGTATAGTGACCACTACAATCTGTGTATATTAGTGAATATTAAATGTTCTTTTCTTATGGAAAGTAAGTTGAAATGGGATTGAAAGTCTTGTTTAGCATGCTGGTATTTCTGCGGAAACCGAAGTTAGCTGTCATCAACACTAGTGATCTTGCTAAATGTGAGGAACTTTGCAAATCTCTAACTTTGAATATATTATAAATATATTTTTTAAAATACTTTTCACAAAATATTGTCTTACTACATAAAGGGTTGCTAAGAATTTTAAGTAAAAGCACTATTTATTTTTTACACATTCTAAGAATGTCCTCACAATTCTAATTCTATGGATTTGAGTAAGTTGGTCAGAAACTTTGGAAAGTATTATCTCTAAAGTAATTAAATACATTGTAGCAGCATATATAATTGTTCTTAAATGACAAATTCAGGATTAATTTCTCATATCTCTTCTACAATAGTGGCTATAGTAGTCTGGAGAAATAAAATAGTACATTGTTATGCTTCTTTTTAAAAATGGACCATTTGCTGGGGAAGGGGTTGTTGGCACATTTTGTTCTTTTGATTGGCATAACAAATGCCAAAAAGTTAGACTATTGGTTTAAGTTTGGGTATTTATGGGAAATTAAGGGGTGAAGGCTGTCTTGCCATTTCTCTAATATGCAGCATTGAAGATGTACTTTTTAAACAGAAGTGCGTCTTGAATTGGGGTATGTTCTGTTTTACTATTTACATATGATTGCCTTTAAAACTGATCAAATTGTTTACTTCTTTAAGACTGTACTTCTATATAAGCCTTGGTTGGTCTTCTGAGTAGACATGTTTTAAATGCAAGGAAACTGAGCCAGACTTTCTTCTGCCTTTTTTGTTCATATTATTTCAAATCAAATATAATGAATTATTACATTTTATTACAAAGTGTAAAACACAGTATTTTTGCACTGTAAACACAAACGTATGTGATACTTGGTATCAATATTGGGGCATGTTTTCAAGAACAGCTACCCCTAGACTAGTTAGACCTGACTCCCAGTGGCCATTCCCTCTGAGCTATTAAGGCTGTTGAACTCCAACAGATTTGGCACACGAGTTAAGTGAAGCAGATCTAGACTTTATTCGAAACAATAGTTAAGCGTGGAATCAGCTTATTTTCTCTTTCAGTATTATAACAAGTTATTTTGATATTGAAGCGCTTAACATTTTTGGTACTGCATAAGTGTTCACTATTGGCCTTCAATATTTATTTCTTGTAAAAATAAAAGTAATTAAATTCCAATAATTATTTTGATGTCACCCATCTCTTAAACTTATTTTAATTGTAGCAGGATCAGATCTAATTGCATGCTTAAAATTTAATTGAAATAATACAACTTCAGGTGAAGTTTTTTCTTTTGTTAATTCTATATGGAATAAGTTTCATTGCATTTTTGGATCCTATATTTCTTATACTGTAGCATTAATAACAGAATATAATACTAAAGCAAAGTTTTACTGTTTCATTCACATACATATGGAGGAATTTTTTTTCTAAGTACTGATACCCTAATTGTAAGGCACCTATAGAGAATTTAAATTGGGGTGAATTTATTTAGTATTTTTGGAATAGATTCAGCACTAAAATTTATTGGAAACTTAAGTATTCAGGGTATTACTTTGAGTAGCTTATACCATTCCATATTAGTCCTAAAATTATTAAACAATGTACTTAAATGGAAGCCTGCTGAAATCAATGGGAATAACTTCTAAGTAGATATGTATAGAATTGCAATAGTGAAATTGAAACTCATGTGGTTAAAGACATGTTTTCATTCTTTTCACTTTTAAAGAATAATATAAGTGGACATACTCACAATAAATCAACTATGTGATTTATAATCTTTGTGATACTTTAAAAGAGAAGCAATAGTTAATTCTTGGTTTCATCAGAATATTTTAACATTTGGACATTTAAATTCATGGTGCTGTTATAAAAATACAGCTGACTGTAATTGTATAATGGCCTTACATTGCTGTTTTACATGGTTCCTTGTAAATTTTGGATATGAACCCATTTCTTTCTTGTCTTGTAGAAGCTTTTGAATAGTTTGGCTTTTTAAAGAACTCATGGTGTAAAGAGAGATCACTGCTTCTTCATTAGTTTAAGTTTCACATTTTACATACAGTTAATGAAGTTCAGAACTTGAACTAATATGATCTGACATAACTTGATAGTTTAAAGGATTAAAGTATTTTGGGGTAAAGGTTTTTATTTATTTACATAAATAATTGTTAATGTTCCCACACTTTTGTAGAGTGTAGGTGGTAGCCTTCACAACATTAGTTCTATGAAAAAAGCAATGTTTTGAGAGGAGGTGGGGTTTATTTTTTTGAAGGCCAGGAAATTGGGTTTATTCCATAACACAGGATACAATCACAGGGCCTTTTTGTGAGAATCCATGGGATAGGTTGAGAAAGATGGTCCTGAAAATGCATTAATTGCAAGGAGGAATAATTGATTAATTTGTCTCAGAGCTGAAAGTATTTTAGGAATGGTATATTTTATGTTGTGTAGATATTTAGAGTGTGATGTGTTTGCAGATAATTGAGTATGAAGTAGGAATATATTGACTGCAAATATGTCAGAGAATAAAGAAATCCCAAGTTATTATCTTACTGCTTTGGATATTAGACTAGGCACCATAAATGACTTCTTTACTATTACACTTACATAAGTATTGTAGATTTTATTTATCTTTGTTATTTTATTTATGCTTGTTATTGCTCAAAAATATTTTAGTAAAGTATTTGAAGAATTAAACTTACCTTAATTTGCTTATTGAGCCATAGATGTTTTAAAAGATGTTCACAAACAATTCCTACAGTAGCTATGGTATTTAAAAATCCTCTGGTTGTTAACTTTTGTCATTCATGGGGAATCTTTTAAGAAGAAAAACCTCTTTGCT